AGCGCTGCGGATGCAGCTTCTATGTTTACTGTTTGGTCGTCATGGCGACTCTCTCTGTCTCTCTCTCTCTCTCTTGTGTTTGTTTCACAATTTACACCATGGTTAGGGACATAATCGAGTATCTAAAACACATTTGAGAAGAAAAAGAATGTCAATAAACAGAACTCTGCGATACTTAAATAACATAATTAACATAATGCTGAAAAAAAAAACCAAAAGGCAAATGTGGAAATACAATAAAAGATTTTGAAAACTGGACCCCAACATTCAAAATAATCACAATTACAGTAATTATGCACACTAGCATGTGCCACGTGTCTCTCGTCACATACTCTACAGCGATGGAGCAACGCTGACGCTTCCTCCCCGGATCACACGCAATATGGGCTTCATTTGGTTTGACAGATATCCGTCTCTATTTCAATTTAGGTTTACTTTTTAGGCCCTTTGCGATCAAGTAAATACTGTCTTCACATAGATTAGAGCAGAGTTGATTCAAGTGTTGCCAGATTTGGCTGATTTTGACAGCTTTTGTCAACATTTTGTGGTGTTTTGAACATATTCTGAAAGAAACCCGTCATTCATTGTCTGAATCACAGATACAAAACTTCATTGTTCGGGATACCGGAGGACCTTGACGTCGTCGCCATGGACAACACAATATGAATATAAATGGGATGAGGCTTATTTATCTGAAAATCTTAATTTTTCTTGTTTGATGCAGATTTGAAGCCCTCTATGTTTCTTATGTGTCTTCTGTTGCGCATATTACAAATTCAAGGTTCTACACGTTTTTATGGCCCGGTAATGCTCTGGGATGCTTTTTATTGAATGGGGTGGGTTTTTAATAAGTTGCGATTGCGCTAGAACCCGACAGCGCTGTTCATCAAAGTCGAGGGTTTTGCGTACCCATCTATCTTACTAAACTATATCCTTACTTTGCCTTGCATCGCCTCATCTACTTGTGCTTTCACACTAGATATTGCCAGATACAAATATATTGCAATTTACCGTAGTTGAAGATGGATGATAAGGCTTTTTCTTCTACTTTGTCTTTAGATCGTAAAAGCATTTAAGATTTAGAAGCAAAATAAAATCCCCATGCAGCTACAGACAGCAAGACACAGGACCCAGAAACGATTGTTTAATGTGAGATTTAGTGATATTTGCGTTTAATAAAAGAACCCTATATAATATAAGGTTCTATCTAACCAGAAAAATTCCACTTCTTCTCTCCTGAAGAGGTAAATGCCGTGCATAAGGGCACGGCTGTGATTGTTGTTTTGGGGGAGGTGAGTGTTGTTTGAGACCCTTCTCCCACTCGTTTTTTCCTGTCACTCTGTGCATTTGATCTGCACCACAAAGGTAAAAGAACAAACCAAACGTGAAAAAACCCTGGTGAGCGTAAGAAAAAGGGCAGGAGCGTCAGGCTCCGAGAAAGACGCAAGACGGGGGAAAAACAAAACAAAGAGACAACTAAGGGAAAGGAGAAAAAAAAGCGATATATTTGTGGTGCTGCACATCGCCTCCCGACACGAGCCGTCACAGGAGAAAGCGCCTGATTGATCATATGCCGTTTATAAACACTCAGTCCATCCAGCGGGATAGCAGGGTTGTGCATTAGAGAAATAGATGGAGAAAGTTCACCCTCACCTGGGATGCCGGCAGGGACCAAAAAACGAAAAAAAGTTTAAGGAGGGGGAGGCGGGTCCCTGACACAGAGCTCACCTGTCTTCGAAAGACTGCAGTCTTCATGGACATTCTTCTGAGGTGCTTAGCATAATCCCTGGTTGGGGGGGGGCACGTTATGCTTTGATACTGCATCGGTTAAGGGTGGTGCTGGTGGTGACAGAAGACGAGGGTGTGGTGGGTGAGGCGAAGGTGCAGGGGAGCAAGGGAAAGGGGGGAGAGAGTTGAACGATGGGGGACGTAGAAAGGCAGACGGAGGGGGGAGCGAGTGTGAACGAAGGAGACGGTTTCAGGGCAAATGAGGCTGCAATTTGGTCCGACCTTTTTCGCCGACAAGTCTTTGGGTCGATATTTTAGCGATAGGATCTTGTTCTGCTCAAAGACCATTTTTTTTTCCTGGAAAATTTGCCGTCGGACTTGACGCTCGCCGGCGCTTGTTGACTTGGGGATTATTTTTTTTTTTCCTGGGAGGACGGGACTCAAGGCCCCTAATTCCCTCTCACCTCCGCTCTAAATAGCCATCAGTCAAAGTGAGCGCGGCCTCTTGATGTCGAAAAAGCTCTGCGTGTCTAAGCCTGCCTCTCTTTACCGCCGTCCCTCCCCTGTCCTCCCTCCCCTTCATTTGCCGACTGCGAAGTGAACTCGCTGGGTGTCTTTGGGGTTTCGACGCAGCAGATTGTTATTCCGCACCTCGCGCGAAGCAGGCGAGCAATGCATGCTCTCCTCTCCTCGTGCATTTCTGTTAACATATCACAACGTGTACGACTAAAGTTTATTATCTCTCGTTACTCTCGCACATCGGTTGGTTCATGAAATGATGAAACGGTCCATAACCGTGTTATGAACACACGCTAGTTTTTACAGTCTGTTCATAGCATTCTGTGTAGTTCAGTTAATTCCCTGTTTGTACTTTAGTCTGATGGTTGTTTTTTCTGTTTCAGAGCACAACGACCTTGAAGTGTAACATTCAACAGGTTTTTGTCACGTCCCCTGTTTTGACATTTGGAAAATCTCTTCAGGCCAAATAGGAGCCGTCTCTGCATTGTTATTGATAGAAAGCCTGACTGTAATTGCTTTTTAATTGTTGTAAGTGGATACAGGAAGCCGACCGCTTTTAAAATGTCACCTTTCAGCGATAACAGGACTGGATGTTGCGGTACGAGTGAAGGGATAGTTGTGTTGTGTTGTATCCACATCCAGTGCATTACCTGCAGGGTTTGGAGAGGCAGACGTGATGGCCAGCACATGATCAAAGCAATGCACAGAAAAGCCTCTTTAGGACATCTAAAAGAAGGACGCATCGAGAAAATGTTACACCACATCCGGACTATTTTCCGAGCTGAATGCGTTCTTTTGTCCACGTGGTCCTGAGCTTTGAAGGGAGCAGAGATGAGCTTCACACGGAGGATGTGGTGGTGGCAGTGTTCTAGATATAGAACACACCTACACACACATCTGCATTCTGTTCAGGTGGGCCTTCATTTTAGGCCTCTTAAGTTAATTAACATGCTACTCTCCCGTTTCTCCAGACCGCCATCTACTATATTTAATCCACTAACAAGAGATAAACACCTCACACAACCCACTTAAACCCACCTAAACCAGACGATTTGCGTCAAAGAGAAATTCATCCATGAAGTAGTAACCAACAGTAAATGTTAATGGTCAAATGGGAGGTGAAAAATTGAAATTACTCTTTTATTACCCCATAATCATCTATGTGGTAGTAAATATTAACATTGTTTACTACTGACAATTGCAATTCCATTCATGACTCAAAAACGAGCTTAAAATAAGCAGCTGGATTTATACACACTAGTTCCATAATTATTCAAACGGCGAAACAGAAAGAGAGCTTGATCTTTACTTTGAGTCTGTTTTTGTGTCGGGTCTGAATAGAATATAAAGTCTTCAGCAGCTGAGAGCGGCTGAATTGCAACTTTAAAACTGGCAGGACATGTAAAGTGACTCCCGAGCAGCCGGTGACTATGAAGATACAGTTTTTATCGATAAGGTCAGGTTTTTTTTTTTCTTAGCTCTGGTGCTTCAGTTGAGTTTTAGTGTCGGCTGGAGGCCAAAGAGCGACGAGCGATGATGTGACATTGAGCCGCTGTGACTGTTGAAAAGTTCCTCACAACATGTGTCCTCTGCTGGTCTCAATGGGTGTTTATGAGAGAACAACACAGGGACCAGACACCAAAGACACGCGGCTCCAGAGGCCTGTTTACTGCTTAATGGACTGTGCTCTCAAATGGGACGGTTAATTGAAACGCAGGCGTGTTGGAGCTCCCCGTGTCGCAGGTGTTCACGTGTGTCTAAGTTCAAACCCACACCATGGCGAACGCGCGTGGAGAGAAACGGAGAGTCGAGTCGTGTCGCTTCGCATGCTTGTTAATGATCAGGCTGTCAAACGTCCGGGGGGTTTGCCGCAATAAATATCAAAATCCTTGTCAATTATAAAGGCGTTTGATATGCAGCTCTTCAACCGGGAGATCTCCCACATACACAACTCTCTCACACACACACACACACACACACACACACACACACACACACACACACACACACACACACAATCCACTGCACACATAAAACCCATAGACAGGTTTGTTTCTACAAGAGAACCTTTGTTGACACAAAATCATGATCATTACATGAAGGATCCTTAAAAAACAACAACTGGAGGACACACAAAAAAGATCCCACAGCTGTGATGGGCCGTTATGAATCGGAGCTCTCGGCAATGAAGTATCCTTGTGAGTTGTTAATGGCAATGAGAGGGAGGATTACGAGATGGACTTTGTGCTGTGGCTTCTAAAGAAATGGATAGACTTTTTATAGAAATCGATGCTTATTAAAATGAGACCACGGGGAGTCCGTTGGAGGACCTGCTGAAGGGCTGCAGGTCTTGGTCCCCGTGTGACCTTTAGTACAACTTCAATTATCCCGCCTCCATAGAAATCTATTTTCTCGCTTGCTCCTTTTCCTTATTCACTAACTATTAATAAGCCACTTTGATTTGACTGTCTGCAGACAGATTTTTTTTTAACATTGCTGTGTAGAAAGCAGGCACATGTTTGTGCCTTTTTCTGTTGGCTACACGCAATATCAGAGGGGATTCTGGGAACTATTGGGATATAAAGAAGCAGCAGGGATCCACGCCATCTGCAGGGATCGAAGCCATGCATGAGAATCTGCTGGTTGCCAGTCGAGAGCAGTGAAGGAAGGTCAATGATCCAGTTTTTCCACACTGACTCATCCTAACATTTCATCTTTTTGATTTTTCTCACTTCACTTTCCCTTCCCTCCAGGGAGCCAAGCCGTCCGACCAGCCTGCTGCCCGCCGACTGGAGCTCGGGGCTGGGTCTGGGGAGGGAAGATGAGTCCTTACCTCCAGGCCTGGAGACCCTTCCACTCAGACTGATGCAGCAGGACTGCACGGCTGTCAAAACCCTGCTTTTAAGGCTAAGACGCACACTGCAGGAGGTGGGATATGCACACACACACACACACACACACACACACTGGCCGACAGAATCTGCTCAACAGGACTTCATACTCAGATTAAGACACTCTGTCAAAGCACAAGAATGACACAACTTGAAGCACACATGCATTGTTTTTCCTCTTCTACCACACCGACGGATTTGTCTTTGATCAAGTTGTACATGCATTAAATAGTTTTAAACCAAGCAGGCAAAGTGGTAAACAAATGATATGCACCAATTGGCCCCAAAACAGTGCAGCACTCCCCTTCACACCCTGTTTTAATGGGCTCTACTTCAGCCCCATGATTTCATCTCAAAGTGGGGGCTTTTCTGCCTTAAGAGGTCTCTTTAATCACTTTGTTTTGGTAATTTAATCACATTCTTCATTTTGTGGATGAAACGTTGAGGCGTATTTGAGCGTTTGCCATCATATTCTTTATCCGCACACATACTCACTCAAGTGCCACAAAATAATCCTCCTCTTTAAATGCTGTAGCCTGCTCAAAAGTACAGTTTTACCGCAGACGCTGAGGCCATCTCAGTGTCATAGCAGGGAAACGAGTAAAATTACATCCACAACGTAACAGACGTGATTAGTTATGATCATTTACTAAAGCACTGACAAGTTGCAATAGCCGCACAGGCTTTAACAGTAGAAGCCAAAGACCCTTGTTGATGGCCCCGGGGCGTGACGTAACCGTTTCAACCTTGGCACTACTTTACTTCACAATGTCAATTCAGGGTAATATTGTTCGGCCTTCCAAGCTTTTAAAAAATGGTCACTGATAGTTCTTACAAAATGAAATACAAATACATGTAGACGATTTACATGTTGGATTGTGAGTCTTAATGATAAGACTGCAGATTTTTAAAATCCAGTTCTATTTGATTTCCATCCGGCCTGGATTTTAATAGAGTCGTACCATTTTCTGAGGGTAGTTGTTTGGAAGTTTGCTTTATTTTGTGTTGTGCTGCATTTTGTTAGGGCGCACATCAGTTATGTTCATGCTAATATTACTGTGTTTTTAAAAAATGCATACACGAAAGAGCGGTGTTGGTAAGACCCATCTGGCTTTGTAAGTTAGACAGCACATCCATTTGCAATGTCTGGCTGCTGTTCCCTTTTAATCTACATGGGTGACTGAACCTCACCGAACACAGCGATATTATACAGACACACTCTAACAAAAAGACATATAAAAGGGTGACCAGACCATCCCTAATACACCACTATTAGTACATCTGAACTAAGATCAAAGCTCTCTGTGGGGACCTCTCTGGGAATTACAGTCCGCAGACGCATATGTAGAACTTACTCCCTTTTTCCTTCACTTTTCATCTTGTTTTTTTCCTCCCAGGACCACTGTGAAAGAGACATGATATGTTAAGATAATAATTAGTGGTGAGGGGCATAACCTAGAGTGCTGATGGAGAGACTAAAGGGAGTGCAAGAGTGAGAGAATATGAATATGTCTTGCTCTGTTTTGTCAGAGCTGTTGTGTTGTTATCCGCCATCAACTGATGTAATCCATTTTGCAGCAATGGGAGGTTGGACCCGGCATGCCAGTATCCTTTGAATTTTATTTGCATGACCTTTTGGTATTGAGCCCCAATCTTCTTTCATTTATCTTAACTTTATATTCTCTCTTATGTCATCCAAAACACTGCTCAGCTTAATACAGTGGGTCACACGTAACATGATGCAGTTCTTTTCCAGTAGTGCTCAGAACAACTTAAAAGCCAAGGAGGCTCACAAAGAGTCCATTATTACAATAATGACTCATGCAGAGTAATTTAACCGTTATGAAACCAGTGCCGCAGCCCAAGCGTCCAACACTTACCTCATTATCTCCTAGATGTCCCTCTCTGTTCTGATTTACACCAGTCACTGCTGTATCATTATCCCTGAACAACAATGCAACACCAAATTACAAAATGCGCGGACTAAAGGGGATATTGCATAATATACATGGAGGCTTACATACATGATGTATTATTCCTTAAGCTCGAGATTTTTTATTAATTTTGTTGTAATTGAGAATGTTTCTTTTGCTTCAATGCCTATGCTAGGTTAGGTTTATGGCAAAATAAGTCTAATGCAGCTCAAAGGTTGTCTGCCAGAAGACTAAGACCCAGTGAGTAACTTCATAAAAGGAAACGGAACATGGCAGTTTCCCATTTGCTGTCAAAAGCTAAAAAAAAAAGAAATGGAGCGGCTTAGATACAAAGCAACCTCCATGTCCCCAGTTAAATTTGGACTTGGGAACCCAGTTGCATCTCTCTCTCTCTCTCTCTCTCTCTCTCTCTCTCTCTCTCTGACGTAACTGAATGTCCCACTATTAGTACTGACGAATGCATATCATTACACAAGAGATGCATGACCGACAGGCCAGATAATACATCACACCGTATCATTTCCTGGCTTTGCTGTGCATCATATTAGTCGGATTAGCATATTTAAGGCAGCTGCTGAGACTCTCTGCGTCCTTGATTTATTTCTCTCCCCGCGGTTTATCCTTTTGGCTGAACGGAGGAACAATTCCAAAAATGCCACTGTCCATGTGCGCATTAATGTTGCCTAAACCAATGATCCCCATTTGTCAATGTCAGCCGTGGTTTCTAGCAAATCGGTGGCGGTCGTGTTTATTTACAGCATATAGACACAGTCTTTTGTAGGCCTGGTCCATGCGTGGCCCCGGCAGACCCCGGTGTCCCAGTGACTCATACCCCCGAGGCAGCTGCTTGCCTCGTGGCAACCCCCCCCCACACCCCACCCTCGCTGCCTCCACTGGAATCTATTTTATCTCCAGTCTTTTTTTTTTTCCCAACGATTGCCGTCGGCATGATAGAGCATAGAAGAAAGTGCTGTTGTTCGTTATATTGTCAACTAAGGCAGTGGCATTTGTCTCTGTAGCCATTGTTGCACCAGTCTGCAGATTACACACACAACTCAGGGTTAAAAAAACAAAACATTTCAATACCTAAGCAGAGTTGGTATTTCTAATTGAAGTTCCTCACCCTTTGTTTGGCAAAGATTCACACTGAAGTGTCTGGCAGTATGTTGTTAATGGGGCATCCTTCCGATTAAAAAGCAAATTGTCAATGAGAGAGTGTGAATGGGTGTTTATCAAAACTGCAAAAGCTGTTTCTTTTCTTGGTCCATTCATCAACTTTGGACATTTAGCTGCCGGGTAGTGCAAGTCATTAAAGCCAGAGCTCCCACAAAGTTTCCCCCATTTTCAAATCTGTAAGGCCTTTTACCGAACCACATCTAATTGTGGGGACAGCTGTGTGTTAAGGCCTGTGGGACAGGGGTGACCTTAAAGAGAACGTGTGAGCGTTAGAGGGAAAAGAGAGAGATGGTGTTTTGGTGTCAGTGAGTGTGCGCCTGTCTCTCCATATGGGGAAAGGCATTGATCACCGGTGACACATTGAGGGACGGGCGCCATAGCGTGCACCTATAATTCTGATAGGAAGGTATGCTTCTTTAAAAGGTCAGCCAAAGCAATAAGACATCAGGTTTATCCTGTGCAAAGATTTGAGCTCTGGTGCTTTACAGAGCTAACTTATAACTAAACCAAATATATGCACAAACAAAATCAAGATTCTTTACCAAAAAGCACTTAAAAAAAAGGTTTTGTCACCCCTCGCAAATAGCTGAGGGGCTTACTTGCACGGGAATCTGCAAGTGAACAGAACAAAGAAAGAGATAAATATACTTGATCCAAAACCAAATGTGCACATAGTTTAGATAAGTCCTACTTTCCTTTATCCTTTCACATCTTTGTTGTGTATCTTGTGTTTTTGCGCCGCACGTAGCATCACATCATTACCAGCAGTCCTGCGTTAAGACCTTATCCTCTCCAGGTTTACCATCTGTCCTATCACAAGCCCTCACAGGCAACATTCAGACCAGCGCCTGCTCTATTTAAGGACTTTGTTGTGTGTGTGTGTGTGTGCATGCATGTCTGTGCCTGTCCGCCAGCGTGCGTGTCTGCATGTGAATACTTTTGTCACATCAGCGCGCGCTGTGTGTGTGTGTGTGTGTGTGTGTGTGTGTGTGTGTGTGTGTGTGTGTGTGTGTTGGAGCTCCCATGCTCTCTGCCCACTAGACACCTGTGTCAAGCAGCAGAGCCAAAAAATCACAGCTGCTGTTAGAAAACACAGAAATAATGTAATGGACCAGGTGAAAAGTAAAACCTGAAGTTGTACAGGGAACTGTCCTACATTTTTATGAACCAAAAGTTCAACAGACCAGAGGTAATAATGTCCTACAGATATTCTGTTGAAAATTACAATTAAATGTAATGAAACACATTAAAGTTTTGGGATGCTGCAGCGCTAATGAGTACTTGTCTGGATAGAAAGAGTCTTGTATCCCCCGCTTTACGTTCTTATGGAATTAGAAGCCAGACTTTTTTTTGCCAATATTGTTACTATACCAAGACTAACTTGTAAAAATCCCGATGCACAATGCACCTATAATGTCAATCCTACTCCTTATCTTAATGGTGTTTTTGTATACGTACCTTTTCTTTTGCAGAGCGCTGAGATAAGTCCCGCCAGCAGCCTCCACTCTCTACCCATCAGCCCCTGCAGTGAAAAATCCCTCCCATTTAAGGTAACCTGAAGCAGGACGTTTTATGTTGCTTTGTGTGTATGAATATGACTGAGTTTGTACGTTTTGTATTTGAGAAAAAAAGTATTCAGTGATTGGCTTTAGGCAACTTTCAATAATCAGTGACATCTGCAACACCCACTCTCAAAGACAATGCTAAAACTCAACTAGTAAAGCTGGCAGGCATTGTATGGATTAAGCTCGATGTCGATGGTGCTTATTAAAGCCTCTAATACAATTGGCCCAGCCTAAAATGTTAGAGCAAATGACAGTTTGTGCTATCCATGAATGCGTGCACTGTATTTCTGTGGAGTTGTGTTGGTGTTGTTTTTTAGGTCAAACAACTTCTACATGGAGCCATCTAGGTCAGCTAAAAATCTGTGGTTGAAAAGAAAAATATATCTTCTTTTGATTCATATCTTGCCTTCAGTTTACCCTTATCTGAACAAAAAAAAACCTCGACAACAGAAAAAATGAACAAGGCAGGCGTGGAGAAGGAGAAGGAGAGGGAATATAAAGGCAGAGAGTAGCAAAAGGAGAGGTGGGGATAAATTGAACGAGCGATGGGTAAAGTGCTTTGCTTGCCTTGACAGGCCCCAGACACCCTCTGTCAACCTAGTCCATCAGAGCTGTGCGCCCAGATAAGATTTATTAATGCAGGGACTGCGAGCGGGACTCAAGTGTGTGTGTGTGTGTGTGTGTGTGTGTGTGTGTGCGTGTGCGTGCGTGTGTGCGTGCGCGCAAGGTTTAGGTTTACCAAGGGAGGACTTTTGTCAAGCTTTTCTTCCTGCGATTTAGTCGGGTGGCAGCAGAGTTCTCGTTAAACCATTACAGGAGAGACAAGCGGTTTGAGACGAGACTTTCTCGGCCCTGTGTTGCTTTCTTAACCCACCCCCCCACCCCTCTCACCCCCTCCTTCACATACATTGAGTGGTACAGTAAAAGCCCCCTAAAATTGAGTGGAGAGAAACCGTATTCGCTGAGCCTAGTCTGTATGTATTTGTTTGTGTTTGCGCGTGTGTGAGAGAGGGAGGCTGGATGTTTGTGTGAATGGACGCCCTCTTTACTGACCTACATGGAGGATCAGTGGCGGCTGGATGATTTTTAAGGAAAAATTAAAAATGTTTGGTGGGACACTGCATTGAAAAATCCCAAAAGTCCAAACCACAAATATGACTTGGAGGCTTGGATTGCTATGTCTGTGAATACGCTTTATGTTCCAACATTTTCAAAGATATTGACACTTTGGTATGTCAAAATGAGAAGATTTGGATTTGTCACTTTGTTGTGTTAAGCGCCAGATGTGCATCATGCTTGTTTGCCAAAATTGTATTGTGTTGAAGAAAAAGCACCAACTGGCTGTATTTATCTTTTGTTCCGATTAACATTGGAGCGTTCATCGTAAAGATCCTGACTGATGCTGAACGACCTGGAGGGTTACTGGTTTTTCAAAAGGAGAGAGACTGTCGAATTGCCAGCAGCTTGGAGATTGATATAAGAGGCAGGGAGAAAACAGCAAGTGCTGTAGGGATTAAGGTTAGGCAGGATATCAAAATGGGTCAAGAATATGTGTTTGTGTCTGTATAATATATAATATAAATATATATATATATATTATATATAATATAAATATATATATATTATATATAATAAATAAATAAATATATATATATATATATATATATATATATATATATATATAGAAGGGGGCAGGAAAGTGGTACCTTGTAAACAGCTGCAGGCATTGAAAATAGAACAAAACCTTAGAGGAGGCCTATTTCATGAGGAAAATATGTTGAAATGGATGCAATGCTGAGAATAGGACATTGTTCTAGTTTACTATAAGATAGATCGAGGAGCGAGGGGATGAGGGAGAACGGCTTTGGGCGAAAAGCTGTCTGTGAGGTGCATACAAAGGGAATGCATTCAGTTTTGAAGACATTAAGTTAGATAACTGGGTAAAATGGAAGAAAATGAATACGGGAGTGCAAGAGATGGTGGTGGGGGAGGCAAAGCGAGGGTAGAGTCTGAGGAGGAGGGTGGTAGATAAAGACGGACGCGAGGGGAAGAAGAAAAAGAGGGTTTGCGGGAGGGGCGAGAAGAGGAGAATTTGTCCTGGCACTCCAGAAAAGCGACTCAGCGGGTGTAAAAATAATCCACAGTAGCCACCTGAGAGGCTGCAGTGTCACAGTGTGCCCCAGTTTAACTAACCCAATGCATATGACATGATTTTTACCAGATTTTGTCCCACTTAAACCGCTATACTGTGTTTTAGAAGACGGAAGTAAAAATCACACGTTGGTGTTGTTACAAGTGGTGGATTCACAGCACCACTGTGTTTAAAGAAAACCTTGAACCTCAGTAATTAATTGCCATTTGTGTGCATTCACCTTTGTGTTAGCAGATACGAGGAAGCTTTATTTTATTTTTTAGTTGAGATAAATCATTGTGTCTTACGCGGTATAATTAGAAATTAATAACGCATCATTATAACGACTTCCAATCTATGATTATGCAGCATTTCCCACACCATGGCCAAAGTGTGTGAGAGTTAAAAAGATACACGTGTGCAGGAAAAAAAATGCAAAGATGAAAGTTTCATGAGCATCATCACACGCAGGTGTAAACTTAATAAGATTGACAAGTTAAACTGACTTCCTGCCACTTTGCGGACCAACATATTTCAGGTTAACTACCCTGGCAACACCACACAGTTTCTAAACTGAAGTAACAATCCATGACGACAGAAAGATATTAATAAGACTGCAAAGAAATCTGTTTCTTGACAGTTTAAATGGCTTATTCTGAAGAGAGCAGCTTAAAGGGGTGTGCTTACCGTACTAAAAGTGTCTTAATCCAATCAGAACAAATAGACAATTAATCCTAGTTCAAACACTCAAAAAAAAATATATATATATATATATATATGAAGTGTGAGTCCTTGTTAAATCCAAGGCATAGCTACAGCCTGTCTTTGTGCTGACGGTCCTCTAGAATTCCATATTTTAAAACCACTGATGCTTCTCTGAGTTCCTGTCTCGCCAACATGAAGCAGAACTAGAGAACGTTCTACAGTGAGTCCTGCTATACTATAGCAGGTGACATTTCCCTTCTAACAGCTTTAAGTTACGTAAGTGGTTTGACGGGTAACTGCACCAACTGCACCTGCAGAGAACCTGCAGCATGACTGCTGCTCTTCACCAGACACAACATGCCTGTCGGAGTTAAAGCCTCACCGCTTACTGTATGTACCATGTAACGGATATCTCCACGGCAACTGTGGCTCTGGGATTGTATAGATATATTATTATTCAACTTGTGTATATGGCCTGCTGTGGAATGGGTGTGAATGGGTGAATGATGAGAGGTTGGAAGACTAATCATCTACAAGTGCATTTACCAATCATGGTCTGCGGTTATACATCACTACATATTTGCATACTTAAAAGAAAGAAATGTACGCTCTCCCAAAAACATTCTGATGAATAAAAACCCGTACAATTTCCTTTTTATACATTCCAAATCAACTTATTAATATGCTCAGCTGGTTCCGCCTCACATTCCGTCGTCTACGTGCCCACATTTAGCCATCAGTGGTCAGCGTAAAGCACTTTATCAAGGAAAGAATGCATAGTAATGAACTGCTTATTATTGGTTCTTTACGGGGAACCACGTCAAATACTGCCAAGAAAACTAAGAATGATTGTTTTGTTGTTTATGCAGTGTGAATAGTTCCAGTGCATCCGTCGTGACTCATTACACATTCCCAGTGTCAATGCAGTATCGTGTTTACAGCAGTGTACCCCCCCACTCTGCATATTACTTGTGACCACCATTTATTAACAGTTTTTAATCTTTTCTTATGGCATTGGCATTCAGGCGTAGCATGAGGATATAGACATGGCCAGAGCTGTCAATGTCTTTATTTTCACACTTTCTTTGTCTGTGTTGAGGATGCCGTATCAGCCCCTCTGCAATAAACATAAATGAATCAATGAAATGTTCACTGCAGCGATTTTACGAACACAAACTACATTAAGACTATACTTGGTGTCGCATGAAATATATTAGAATGTTCATTAAAGAATATTAATGCTCTTTTTGGCAGTTCTATAACACTACTTGACATTATCTTACAGATAATTAGAGAAGTGCAGATAGTTCTTCTCCTCATGCGTCTTGAAAGCCGAAAGCGCTGATTAATTATGAAGCAGATTTTGATGAATTGAAATTAGAAATTGGTGTTGGGTTTCATATATTTTACGAGAAATATGCTTCTAGTTATGGTTCAATAATACAAGCATTAATAACACCACTGGTTTGAGTACACGATATGTGTGGTATGAAGGGAACCTACATGTCAGCGGTATCATACAGTTTGGCTTAAGTTGACCACCTCACCAACTGTCTCGAAAATATTGTGCAAATTCTCCCTACCGTTTTTTTTCGGGATATCAGAACATTTGTAAATTGATTTAAAGACAGCTGACAGAGGTCACGTATTTAAAGTGGAGAGACATTCTTTATCACTTAAGCTCAAGCTCTTTCCCTCTTCTGTCAGCTGCGTGCTTGGTTTGCTACTAAAGGCATAATTACAGGCAGAATATAAGCACAGACATCAAGTGTGCGCAGGTTCGATTGATATTTAGTGCTCCACTTCACGTTGGGAGTACGCTACTGTGGCAGTAATTACAGAAAAACAGCTTCAGCAATTTGTACCAACAGAAAGACGCATTCACAAAAAGCTGGGAAAATACTAAGGAGTCGTTATTTTTTTTGTTTTCTGGTTGCTGGATCAAACCACCATGTTTTCACAGTTGGGGGGTTTTGTCTCCTTTTTTTCCCATTTTCTCTTCTGCGGAGCATTTTTGGACAGTGAGGTCCATCAACATTTTAGCTACTTTATCAAAGCTTTTAGAATGCACGCTGGTATTTTCCAATACACTTCGGCATGTGTGAACATGGTGTATATTTCTGTATACCTGCACTTCATGGGTAATTTTCTTCGACTCTTGTTGAATAGGTTTACTTTTAGTCAGACTACATTTAAAACCCCAGGTTACACTTCTGAACTAAAAGGTGGAAGGTTTAGATATGTGTTTTGTAAATCGGTACAAAGAGAACAAGGAGAATGCATTCATGCATCATGCATGCTTTGTAATGCCCAATATGAAGAAATAGGCAAAAACTGGATGAAGATTGTGTCTTTCTCAATGAAAAACAAAAGTTAACAAATTGAATAATTTCTGCTAACAAGGGGAGTATAATTCATTTTATGCCCTCTTCAACTTGCTGCTGATTGCAAGCCTAGAGTGGCCTCAACCTTTTATACAAAATCACATAAAGTGGATGCACTCCAGCGATTTTGATCAGATTTATCCCCACTGTGGCTATTCCAATCACATTAGAAATACATTTGCCTTCCCCGCTTTTCTTCCACAGCCTTTTCCATTCAATTCAGCCCTGAACAATTGGTTGGAATGCCGCCTGATGGGTGACTAAATGCACATTGTGGTGCTTCTTTTAGAATCGAATACGGTTCTTTTTGTTTTATGTTTGATAATGTCTTTCTTTTTTCTATTTTTTTTTGTAGGATATGATAAGTTTGGTTTGCGCAGCAATGGATATTTGAGTGACAACAGTAAAGTCGTTATACTTAAAAAAAAAAAAGATTGAGATTGAGGATGCATGCCCAGTCCATTGGCATTTAAATCTGCATACTTGAGGTACATTATCTCTCTCTTCATGACTCTTTCTACCCAGGCTCTTTTATTTCTGTTTATACACTTATACAGTCTTGTCTGACCTGAAAACAAACCGTGCTAGTCATTAAAGTCAACATGGATTTATTCATGAGCCTGTTCTGAACATTTGAAACGCAACTACTGATATACACGAAGTGGCATGCGCACGCGCGCACACACACACACACACACACGCTCACACGTACACGCTCACACACACACACACACACACACGCTCACACGCTCACAGGGTACAGGAGCATAAACACTGTTTACTTGTAGCAGCTCATTTAGAACAGCCTTCAGTCCTATTCGGGTGAGATTAATTTAAGAGGCTGACTAATGTAGTAATTGTCACAGCTTGTTAGTGGTTTTTCTGTCCGATCCAAATCTCATGTTAGTAATTTTGTTGCTGTGCTCTGGCAGGAGGAAAAAAAACCTCTTTATCATCCAGCGGTATCTTTCCTGTAAAGCCAGGTAAACGGGGTCCATTTAGATTCAATACCGCAGGGTTTTGATAATTGTTTTTCTATTTGGGAAAAGGAAAGGTTTTCACTTTTAGTTTTTTACCACCATGGAAGCACTTAGCGAAGCTTTTAGCTTTGTCCTCCTTGACCATTAACTTTTATCTACGTTAAGCTCCCACACAGACCTCAACATCAATTAATAAAATGACAAAGCAGAAAACAAAATCCATCAAAACCTTTTGAGATACTCGTCTTTGTCACCCTCCCCCCCCCCCCCTTCCACAGAGACACACATACGCACACAATCGGATACACTGGTGCTAGTTCTGTCTCTTTAACTTTGCGAGACAGACTGAGTTAGAGGAGTGATGGTCTTAAAGAGGCAAGGCAGCTTTATCTGTTCACAAAGCGTGTTCTGTGAAAGCTAAAAAAACAAGTGAGGCCTTAGAAGGGATTCAACAGTTTTACAATGTCTTGAATTAGATTGAGACCGTTACGGGTAACCGAGTAGTACCGGTGGCCGCTTCACATCCACTTTGTCTGTTTCCCAGATCCAGGACAGTGAACACCGCATTTGACGAGGCCTTTAGCCTAAATCTTATTAGACTTTTTTTAGTTTTAATTTAAATGACGACTAATAGTTTCTTTTTTTTCAGTTCTCCAGACAGATTATTATTCATCATAATGATCGCAATGGAACAACCGTTGGTAGGCTTCTGATTCCTGATGTCATTTGAGGACGATGCCAGTAGGCTGTGTTTGCATCGCAGAGGTCATTTAAAGGGCGTTTGTGTAGCTGTATGGATCCCTGTGGTCTCCCTCTGACTCTGTCCTTTAGCTAGATGGCTCCCCACGGTCTCTGACCATCATGCTCAGCCTCGGGCCCTCTCTGTCCTCTCCTTCCCACTATCGCTGTTGGTCTCCGCCTCACTTTACTTCGGTTATCTCGCCTTTCTTTTTAGCGCCTGCTTTTATGTCCTTGAGGAGGTAATGACCGTCTGTTTGTCATCTTCTCTCTCGCTCCGTTACTGCTCTCCTCTCATTCCCTCTGTTCTTCTCACCGTGTCACTGTGTCCAAACTTAGCTACCTGTCCGTTTTGTAATATTTTAATCAAAGCTGCTCAGTGTGGAGCCCAATTTTCGTTGTTGTTTATGATGGGATCTTCTGACAGTTCGTAGCTAAAACAACGGGTTTTAAAATAAGGCTTCTGTTAAACATTAGGTTGGCAGACTGTTGAAGTATTTCCCTGCAGTAACGTTAAAACACAAGTCGTGTCACATCATTTTACTCGGGGGAACTCAATAATGCATTTTCTAAATGAGATTCAAACAATTGCAACACAAATATAGTCATAAACATGATACATCATAAACGACAAACACATTTTAATGTGACATTATGCCATTTTAATTTTCTCCTTTTCAGCACTTTATAACTGTTGTTTTGAACGTTTCCATAAGATTTATTTATTTTTATTCGTATTTTGACTCTTCTTCTCCATAATGTCCCCTTACAACACAAGGTCATATTAAAGTGCTATGTGCTCTGGGGTGCCGCCATGGGACACGCCAAGTTTATCACAGAGAAGAGATCAGAATGCCTGCTGCATGCATGACAACTTTATTACTGACACCGCGAGACCACAACCAAACACGCTCATAAATGTAGATAAAACACTTCCAAACACACGTAAACCTTTATGGATACGGTCAGAAATTCTGACACGCACACCCGGAGCCATGCACGCACACAGACACACACGGTTTGTACATTGTCATCCTCTTAGGCTCTTTGTATTGCTTTTGCGGGAATACGCTCCCGTAGATAAATCATTGCTGTCTGCAGTGTCGTAAGTAATGTGCTGTCTTGCTGCTTGTGTTTAGGATCTCTGCAGAGAGGAGGCCTTGCTGCAACAGCTGAGAGAGAAAGACGAACTGATTCTCAGACTCCACCATGAACTGGTAAGGTTCTTTGAAGTTCATAATTCTGGAATAAAATTAAAAGCTTTTACTAAATACCATTTTTTTTTCAAAGGACTTTGAAAATGGATCAAATCAAAGCTCCATTTTGAATTCCTGTGAACAAAATCTATAGTAGAAGATTGGAGCTACCAGGAAACTGTTCAGATGATGTTTGTTCAGCCACAGGTACACATAATGCTCAGTAACCAAAATGAACCAATAAATTCCAAAAAATGTGTTCACTATATGGTGCAGTCTTAAAACAAAAACAAATTGTAGCATAAACTCGGACATAAATATCAGGAAGCTTTGCTCATCCAATTTCATCTGTTCAGTTTATTTCTCTAGGTCTCTAAACCTGAATTATAGCTTGAATGTTTTTGAATTTTGTTGTTACTGTTATAAATTAAAGGCTAATTAGCTAGGAGGAACCATTTTTCATCCCCTTTCAAAAATTTCTAAGAACTGGAAAGTTTTCTTTTTAAACTCGCCAAACAACTTTGTCAGTTTTCCGTCATTATAGTGTTCTGCTTTGTGAGACTACACGCAGCAGAGAGCCGAGTGACAGGAAAGACTGATCACAGAGAGCGGGAACTTGGGGAGGGTTTTATCGTTGGCTTGAAGTCACAACATCGATATCAAATGGCACCATCTTTTCCATTTTTTTTTTTCTCATGTGAACTGCTTGTTCCCACCAATCTAACGTAGTAGCATCATTTTAATTGGGACTTCAGTCAAGCCAACAGAAGTTTAATTTATTCACAAATCTGGGTCTGCTTGTAGGTTGAGAAGCATTGATTTGTTTCCATGATTGGATATTTGATAATACCAAAACATCTGAAAATTGAAATGCAAAATATAGTTTGCTGTCTGTGTTTCTTTGCACACTTTCGGAAACTCTGTGTTGGATCAACTTCAAAAATGAGTTCCTTCATTTGTCATTTGCTCATCCATAATTTGTCACCTGTTCCATCGAAGCAATGTAATGCAGACATCACGCCAGGCCTCGGCAGGATAACGTGCCAACGTTATGGCGCTGCTGTGAGGAATTCCAATCCAACCCACTGACTAGAGTCTCATTTGGCATCTGTTTGTTTAATGACTTTCTGGCAGTCATATCTCATGTTTCTCCCTGAGCAGCACCTGTCTGCACAGCTACACTGTGTAGCTGGAGAGAGGCAGGCATTTAATAAACCCCTAAAAACTATTTGGTTCAGCCTTCATGAAACGGTTGGACGGCCAACCGTCCTTTATACCCACCTCCGCAAACCCGAGTGCACTCTGCCAGGGCACTCGTTGCATGTTGCCCGAGTCTTCCACAAGGCTGAGCCGACTAAGCTTGTGCTCGCCTGACAGCTGTGACAGTCATTAAGAGCATTGTTTGCTGTTTGTTTCCGTTTGTTTTATGTTAGGTGTATACTTACACGCGAGACATGACTGGACAACAACAATGCTTTACTCAAAGGAGGATACTTTCAAAATCTAGCTTACTCTCTCAAGTTTCTACAAAGTCGCCTACCCTGATACATGTGTATTCATGACTTGAATGGGAACTGGGAACCTACTCCTGGAGGCAGCCGTGTTCACACTGTTCCTTACAGGCCACGTGACCATCGTTCCTCTCCCCGACAGGCCATTAAACATAATGTACACCCACTTTGTACACCCACTATTTCCAACCACATTTTAACCTTCATTTAATCAACACAATATGTCCGTCCTTTGAGAATATGTCAATATTGATAATATGTCCTTTGAATGAAGTCAGTTATCTCACTCTCATATTTCTGAAGTTGTGCATTCGTGGGCCCATGATAAACATCTGTAAAGGTCTATAAGGGTCTCAGCAGGTGTGGGGAGGGGAGCATACCCTTGTGCAGCATACCTTGTGCCGCAAAAAGCAAACGCTTTTTTCGCTCTGCCTCCTTCTGTAAATCTGCCAGTGAAAACCTATTAATTATCTCCTGGAAGGACCTGCTAGCTGGCTGGCCATCACGAGCTGTCACTATTTATGACTTTACTTCCCTCTCGCCTCCTGCATTTTGTTGAAGGGCTGTGCTCCACCTGCAACATTTTGCTGCAGAAAGCCCCTTCTGCCTGTCATGTGGGCAGGGGCATGAGCAATGGAAACCGGTTAGGAAAGGATGAGTCAGCTAGCTTCTTCTGGATCTGAACGGGATGATGGATTGGGTTTAAGGCCATGTCATAAATTAACTTTCTTTAATTCTCCGTACCCTAAATCCGCCCGTACACCGTCGCCGGATTTCTGGTGATTCATTTAAGTCAAAGTTGACAGAGTGATAATCATCATGCTGGCCTTTCTAATTCAGAGGACCGGCAAGCTGCCTTGTGGAAGTAATCCCACAGTGATGTAACACGATTCGGCAGGTTCCTGGCCATGTTGAAGCAGCCGTATATTTAAGGACAGGACAAACACTGTAAATCTGCGAAAGGAAACCGAATAATTACCTCCCAGAAGGACCATTCTAGCAGGCTGACCAGTACTACCTGTCACCTTTTATGAAACCTTTACTGCACTTTGAGGATGGTCCCTGCTTCAATATTGCTGCAACTGTGTGAATCTCACCTCGGCCCAGTTTTACGACCTCTTGGATTTCCAGGAGATGCGGTGGTTTGTCTCTGATGTTTTTAAGAGGTGCAGATCCGTTCTTTCTCATTATAACCAGTTCTACAAGTCTGCTGTGAGACCATTTTGTTTTTCTGATTTATTCATGTTGAATGTTCTTCCTTTGTGAGATTTTGGAAACGGCTGACGAGTGTGCGTGTTTGTTTTCTATGCAGGAGAGTGCCAAAGCTGCCCAGAAGAAGAAAGACTGCCAAATGACTGACCATGCAACACAGACAGAGCACATAGGGCCCGAGGTGAGATTCACACAGACCACACACACACACACACACACGCACACACACTCACTTGTTAGCAATGCACTCTGTGCTGAATTTCAACCATTGGACATACGATTGATATATGATAAATCAATCAAACATCTTCCTTCTCTGCTATCCTATCTCTGGCTATGAGCTACTGCCCCCGCCCCTGTCTACCGTCTTTTCTTTTCCATCTATTCAAGAGCATTTTTACATTAAGCTAAAGTAATAATACATTTTACTCATTATAAAGATGCTTACTGCAGAGACATTCACATTATAGTGCACTACCTGTGTAGTCCCCTCCGTCCTCCCAATTCTCACAGTGCGGAGAAAGGCTGCTGTGCTGCTTCCTGCCTCGGCCCTTGACATGGCCTCCTTGGCTTCATCGGGGGCTGACAGTATGGGAACGCTGCAGACTTAATGGATGACTGTCTAAAAATGGCTGCCTGTAAAGGAAACGGGAGCAGAGTTTCTTTCTCATCTCCTCTGGGAGTTTCTTTATACCTGCGTGTAAAACAGTGTGAAAGCTGTTTCACTGTGGGGTCTAACTTACACCGTAGCATGCACTCAAACACACATGCAGACAGATCACGTTGGAGGGTCAAAATAAACAGACAAAAACTCCCTGTCTGTTGACTTTAAAGTATGTGCAGCAGGATACCAACTTATACACTACTGTGCTTTAGTTGTTGGATTCACAGAGCCCCTGCATTATATTCTAGTACTTGGAGGCAGAGATTTAGAGACAATAAAGTGATTTGCTTTATAGCTGTGGGATGATAACGATGATAACAGCACATTTTGTATAATCAAAAGATGCTTTACAATCACGGCAAATCTCATTGGCACAGTTTATTCCCTTCAAAGAACTGCTCCTCCCACTTTGATGTACTCACAGTTTCACTCACAGTGTGTTTTTGTCATCTCGACAATACATTTGCTACCTTCACCCGTCATGATTTTAGCTCAATGATCTTGCAGACGTTGGAATGTCTTGGTATGTGGTTATTTTGCATTGGTCTTTAGGTGGCGGAACAAGATCATATTAACTTATTCGTAGTGAAGATGGTTTATCTGAGCATAAACAAAGTGTGGGACTGCAGATGGAACACATACCAACCACCGTCAGATGACAGTAAAGATCAGCTGAATGGATCGGCCTACAGTTGTGGGTGAAGGTTGCTAATCCTCATTGGAATTATTTGAATGAAAAAAAAAAAATGAAAAAAAGCCTTTTAATGTGCAGTAAATGTTTCTTTTTTAAGCTCGATCAAATATAACAATAACATACTTATTTTGATTTAGGTTTGTGTGATTTAGTGAAAGTTTTGTGTGTTCCAAAGTGCAGAACCATGTGCAACATTTACCAGCTTTAAACAGGCGCGCTGTAGATATTGACTCCCGAGACCTCAAGTGCTATGCAGAGCTGGATTGCTGGTGACACTCCCACTACCCCCACATTGTTTCCTCTGCGCTCTGTACAGGTGCAGATGCCTCATTGTGCCTCAGAAAAATACCACTTTGCTGGCTGAGTCGGCATGAAGCTGCACAGTTCAATCGTATCATTTTATGATAACTGCCAAGTTTGTGTGTGCTTGTGTTGAGAAGCATCCATTGGGCCTGGCAGCGCAAAACAAAGCTAAAAACAAGGTTCTGTTAAAGGTATCAACGGAACCGTCAAATAAATTGCAATTATACCTTAGGTATAATGCATTCAATATTCTGCACATGTGTGTCTTTCTATTTTTTGTCATGCCTCCCATGACATATTTGTAGATTTCTTATCCAGATATTCTTTCGCTAAACACTCCGCATAGAAAAGGGATGTGTTTTTAAGTCGACCGGTTCGGGTCATTTTTATTTTTCAAGTTCATTTAATTCAAACTAATTGCCGACTTTAATTATCCGCATAAGGAGGCGTGAAGAGTGAGAGAGTTTAATCCTGTTTTTGCTCCTACAGTAGAGTGTATACGTGGAGAGATTGACACTTGTATATAGACTCAATTATAACTCCTCTCAGGTGACATGCTTGATTAATGTGCATTCAAATTCAAGTGGTGCCACTAACCTTGTCATCTGCTCTGCCTGCCGAAAAACAGCAAAATTCGGCACACTAGATATTCTCCATTGGTCTATTAAAAGGAGTAGAGCAATGCGCAAATATCAAGTGAAACGGCTCATCACTGTCCCTGAGCGTATGTTGGAGTTGTCTTAGTAACTCCTGGGACAGCACAGTGTCAGCATCACATTAAGCTTATCTCCCTAATGCAGTACGTCCGACTTTGGGAATTTTGGCCGGTACTCAAGCGCAGGGCATTGCTATCTATTATAAAACCAGTTCCTAGCTATGGAGTCCTCCATATGCTCGGGCGCCTTGAGTAGATGGGCTCTTAATTAGAGGAGCAGCTGGCTGCCCGCTAGCAAGCTATGCTAGCAGCACAGGTGACTTAACTCAGCAGTAGCTTCAGCATGTGTGGCCTGATTTGTGCCCCCCCCCCCCCCATTTGTGTATATCTGTGTGTGTTTGGTGGAGAGAGAGAGACACACACAAAGTGCGTGTGTGTGTGTGTGTGTGTGTGTGTGTGTGTGTGTGTGTGTGTGTGTGTGAGAGATGCCGCAGTGTGCGAGCAGGCCTATGTAGGTTAGCTGCCCCATTGCATCCAGGACAATCGGCGAGCAACAGAAAGTATGTCTACAAGTGGGGCAGCTATTTCTAATGCTTCCTCCGCTTCACAAGGTCGACCGCCGTACTCCTCCTCTCGCCTTCTGCCTCACTCTCCTTCTTTTTTCCGGAACGTCCTCCCACTTTTCCTCACTCGGTTGCCCTCATCCTTTTCTCTGACCTGTGTTTGCTGGCTGATCCACGAATGTTCAGAAGTTGGCTTTTAGAAGTTCTTTTACTATCTTCACAAAGGTTTCGGGCCTCCAAGGAATCCGTCAGAGATTCTCTTGCCCTGGTTCCTCCACCCTCCTCCATCCTGTCCAAAGACTTTAACCGGGATAGCTTGTGTTATTTTATAGTCGGTGTGCATATAACAACAAGTCACACCGTGCTTGCAAGTGAGTGATTGCATGAATTTGAGAGAAATTTGAGAGAAACGACAGCTGAGACGTTTATCTTGTTAGCTCTCACAAGTGTAGGGACTAAGTCTAAAATTCACTGTTTTCTAAGCTATAATGGACAATGGACCATTTTGTAATCATCACGCACTGGATTTCTCCATTCCTCAGTGATTTATTGTCTCTGCAATTTAAGAGGCAGCGTAGCGTAAAACGGAAGGGCTCCCAATCTAGCAGATGACGGTCCAGTTGTTCCAGTTCTTTTTCAGCTGTAAATATGGACAGGATATTTTGAGACCTTGTGAAGATGAGCCACGTGTCCTCGGGAAAGTGGCAAAGTGCAGTTGAGTCAGAGGGACCAACCTAAGTTCAAAAGTGAGAACCATCGTCCACTCTCATTGCTGAGGTGCCCGATCCCTCCTCTTTCTGTCAGTGTGCCAAATTTAAAATAAATGGCAAGAACAGTCAAAGCAAAACTGAGAGAGATTAAGAAAAAAAAAGATGGGGGCGGGGGACAAAAAGGCGAGGATCTAAAGCATTGTCCCGCTCTTTACAGCTGGAGTTGAGGTGACTGTTTGAAAGTTTTTTTTAGAAGGGATTGAATCGATTGAGATTGCTTTCTTTCAGCAAGTTAATTTCATGGGCATTCTTAAAAGGAACATTTTGTCGGGGGGGGGGTTCAAAGCTCTTGACGGTTAGCTCGCTCTCGCTCTCTTTTTCACTCGCCTCTATAATTTTCTATTCTCCCCAGATTTGTGCAATTTTATTTTTCTGCCTCTTTTTTTTTTTTAGCTGCAACGAGCAGCTCTGTAGCTCGCTCTTTCTATTATGTGGTCGATCCACAAAATAATCCCAAAACGTTTAATTCTGAATGCCGAAATCTGCAAAGGAGGTCACATGTTTGTCAAATGGTGTCTGTGTGTTTGTGTGTGCATGCTTATGACACATGCATAGAGCCACGCTCATACAAGAATGCAGCTATGGTGAATTTGAGCTTATCGCTCTCTTTTGTACCGACTTCCCATCCACCCGTGACTCCAGTCTCTCTTTAGAAGCTTCCTTTTAGTACTTTAGCAAAATGAGAGGTGCTGAGAAATAGTTGATGGGCTATAACATTTGAATGAAAAAACAATTAAGTAGATCATGCATATTTTCCCCTCTCTGTCTCCCGTCCTACTCTCTATGCAGCCACTTGTTTTACGTGCAGAGGAATTTCAATTTTGGTTAGATTAGAAATTTCATATGAACATTTGTACATATAACTCAAAAACCCATATATTATGGTAAAAAACTGTTGTATCGTGGTGTTTTACCCTGTTAAAGAGCAGTAGTTAATAGGATATTAATTGTTGTCATAAAGTTATAACCATGACTCCATCTCAATACACGTAAGACAAGTAGCTCCCACCAGTGCGCCGTCGCCAGGGAGCGCTGAACAATATATTTTGCTTCTGCTGACAGATAACTCATTAGCTATGTAAGGAATCCAAAACTGACAGGCAATGCCAAGACACGTCAATGAAATAATCAGATGTGCCCCTGTGGGACCTTATGAAACGATTGAGGAGGACATGGGATTCTCTGAGCAGAGGACCAGTTTACCTTCACTGGTTCCTTTCCATTATAATGGGTGCTTGACATCGGTAAAACAAAACCGCTGTTACTTTTTAATCTGAGAAATCTGCCTTTCTACTAGATGTCTGTGCATTTGTACTTGTTCTTGGATGTTTCCAGTCTGTTTCTTTGGTTAGATTACCATTATATATATATAGTTATATGTCCTCACCCGGCCAGCAGACTTTATCTGTTCCTTCATCCCTGCGTTTTTTATCTTGAAAGTGTGCAACATTAAGGCATAGAGCAAGTATAATATATCATGTTATACAGCACATACCTGCAAAGGCCATTTGCAAATCATCGTGACTAATGTA